AGTTGTTGATTCATTCGGGAATCAATTAGTCGCGTGTGAATTCACTGATTAAGAAAGCCTTGACTTTCACATGAAGCCTGCTGTCGGATTTCCCTTCCTACTAGCTACATACAGATATTTCAGAATACGGACAGAAAGATGAGCTCGACTTCCATGATTTGCTCCGGGATCAAAAATGCAACAAAATGGAGGTTGTTCAGCCGAGAAGAAAAGACTGCGCTCGACCTTGGAGGATGTTTCTTTCAAACGAGTGTTTGTGCTCATACTCGGCCGCGCAGGGCTGACCTTCCCTCCAAAAATTCGTCTAATTTCATGCGGTCCTCCCCCGGAGCAAGCACGAGTGTGTGTTGCTTTCATAAAAGGAGAGATGTCGAATGCGGCTGGGAGCAAGCAACCTTTCACGAGGAGAAATAGATGCTCTGGTTTACAACAACTGAACTGAACTGGCTGAGGACAGGAGAGACTCTGAAAGAGGCTGTTCATGCCACATTTAGACAAAAGGAACAGTAAGTGAGTGCCTGGTTGTGTATAAAGAGGCTACCCAAAAACATTTTTTAAATGCCTGCTTCAGAAACGCCAACCCGGTTGGATGCTGAACAAGTTTAGGCATCTGGCATGAGACCAGATTATGTGTATGGGTCATTTTCGTTCAATTTGACGAACAACAATAAAGACTTATTTTTAAAATATTTGAATTCAGCAGTTTTCTTTTATGCCGCCTTGATTTTACATGTCTAAATATATCCCATTTTGAAACAGCCATTCTGTATTGATCTTTTAAATTTGGAGGCATTCTGGTAAAGGCAATTCTTATGGCAGTAGAAATGGTGGTGGACTAAATTGACAAACCAACTTAAAAAAAAACTTTAAGATGAGTACAGCTAGTTTTCAAATCCTAATGTCTATATTTCTGAGATATTTTTCTATGCTTCAGGCAAATTTGAATTGAAGTGGTTGACTTGCAGACATTTTTGGGACTTCCTTTTGCGAGGTGCCTTGTGCTGTTACGCTGACTCAATTCTACTTCCATGAATTTTATCAACTACAAATTTCTCTTATTCCTTAGGATGTATTTTAACAACTTATGTCGTGTTTTTCATTCTCAATGCTCATTTTCTTTCTGTGCATGTTTGAGTGCTACACCACAGGACCTGAACGGCATTTGTTTGGCTCTCGAACATTATTTTGATTTGTATAATTACTTTATCATGACTATATTTTGTATGTTTCCCAACCTTTAAGAAATAAAGGTCCCAGCTCAGACCTTGATGCTATGGTTGTTAAGTTTCGCAACATTTGTCGCAGGAAAATGACATTAATGTCACCGGAATTGTCTTGAAAAGATCTGTTTGACCAAGGCTCGTGTAAATCAATTAATCTTGGAAATTTGACACACATACCGAGACACTGCTGTAGAAGAATGGACGACGCGACAGCGTGTCGCCTTGTCAGTCACCCACTGATGCTGACACCCATCGCGCGCCTTGCAAGCCACCAGTTGAACCTTGACGAATGCAACCGCACGCTTCTAATATTCCACAACACACGAATGATGATCACTAAAATAAGCCGTTTTCGTCCACAAAAGAGACTGCCGTGGCAAGGAGGCAGGCCACGAACACTGCAACACACGGGAGAGACTCACTGCGGCTAGCAGCTAGCACGCTACCTGGCTGACGTACGACACAAACTGCTTCAAAAAAATGCCAATTTGCGTTCCGATTAAGGTAAATTGATTTAAACCCTCACCCTCTCCCCCAATGTTAATTACGATCAACGTGAGACTGGCCGCTAACAAAACAGAACGACAAGTTAGTTTGGTGCGCGATGCTAAAATGTTGTGATATTGCTACGTCTGGCTAGCCAGCTTGAAAAGCAATCAAAAAAACTCGCTTATTATGGCGTGTTTTGATGAGTTTATTAGGAAAACGTCAACACTCTGAGCCATGAGACGAAACAGTCTTGCAATCGAGACAGGTAGGTTATGGTTTGTTTTGGGGGGGGGGGCGCGCCATGTTGACGGCACCACGGTGGAGGGAGCTCTAAGTTAGCCGCGTTGCAGCTCACGTCGCCGGACAGCCAAGCCGATCCGCGGGCGCCACCGTCTGTTTGTCTGTCATCGGAGCCCGATGTTGGCACCACTCACCTCCGGGCGCGGCGTCGCCAGCGCAAAGGCGACGACGAGGATCCACGCGGGGGCGGTTTTCACACCCGGAGTGGCCACAGCGGAGCGGACGAAGCGATCCTAAGCTGCGGGGCGGCGGTGCGTGTCCAGCCGGCCACTGTGGAGCAGCGCGCGGCTGGGAGGTAAACAGAGGAGAGGCGTCTGTCTGCAGACTAGTGGTAGGCAGATCTATCCGAGTATCGATAATGGAGATACCAAGTGTGTATCAATTTTTGATCGATACGAAAGGCACCTTATCCATACAGTGATGTCGATTTCGCCAATACGTAATAAGGACGTCTACATGAATGGATGAAAAATGCCGCCTACTCGCTTTCGGGAGAAGTGAAGCAACCGGCGGCCATCTTGCATTGCCACTCTTTAAGCCCACCCAACTTGAATACCTTGATTTCTTCATAGCGTTTTCCCATTACTTTCTGTCTAGAGAGCAGAAAGTATATAATTGACAAGTGCATGTACTGTTTGTGACATTTGTGTTTGGTAGTGTGCCGTGAGATTTTTTTGAACTTGAAATGTGTGCCTTGACTCGATAAAGATTGAGAATCACTGATAGATCAATTGATACTTTATTCATCTCAATCAGGTAAAGTAGTAATTTAAAACGTGAAGCTCATCACATTACAATGTGAATTTACTACGTTAAAACCTGAAAGCTATCATGTTAAAACGTGGAACTTATCACATTAAAACATGCAAAACTCATCACGTTAAAACTTGAAATTGTTCACGTTGTAAAACTTGCTTGAAATTGATCATGTTATAATGTGAAACTGATAACATGAAAACGTGAAACTCATCACATTGTGATGTGCAGTTCATTACGTTAAAACGTGCAACATATCACCTTATAACGTGTGAAACATATTAAATTAAAACCTGCGAAACGTATCACTTTAAAATGGCCATTTTATCATGTTAAAATGTGAAATTTCTTAAGTATCATGCGAAATTGATCACGTGAGCTGAAACCTGTGAAATTAAATCGTGAAGGTCATCACATGAAGTTTATCACGTTACAGCATGAATCTTGTCACGTTAAAATGAAATACAATCCCCCCCCCCCCCAAAAAAAACCCAATATGCTTTTGTGGGGGCGAAAAAAGTGATCACGTGTAAGCTTGCCCTAATCACCAGCCGTCCTCCTTTTGTGCGCCGGTAATTAGAGAGGCTGCATCGGGGCTTCTGTCGCTTGTGGTTAAAAAGAAAAAAAGCCCCCCCCCCCCAAAAAAAACCCAATATGCTTTTGTGGGGGCGAAAAAAGTGATCACGTGTAAGCTTGCCCTAATCACCAGCCGTCCTCCTTTTGTGCGCCGGTAATTAGAGAGGCTGCATCGGGGCTTCTGTCGCTTGTCGGTCACAAATTATCTTTGTGAACATATGTGAGGGTAGCACCCGTCTTTTCCTCGGCCTGGCCGCGGAATCCGTCAGAAGACAATGGATGCTCGTGCGTTCCCACCGGAGACCGCTGACCTGTGAAATCTGCGACAGGCACGGACAAACCGGTCGCTGGGTGCACCAACATAGAGACGTGGTCCAATCCGCTGTCCAATGACGGACAGTGACTGGCGATGTTGACAGGAACGTGTACCCTATGTTGGGGTTGAGACCCCGTTTATCGTTGTGGAGGATCCGTTCTGAAAAACTACTGCGACAGGTGGTGACAATCACCGACATTGAGAGATGATCCCCGAACGAATCGTTTAGATATCTTTCTTTGCCGTTATCTCAGTGTCACCATCGTCTCTCGGCGTTTGTCGATTGTTTTTCCAAGCTGAGGATGATTGACAGGTTTTTCGTTTGCCATGGCGCCCCCTCCTGCCGGTTGCCATGGCGACATGACTTCTTTTCAGTCCTTTTTGCCAATGGCGCTGAAACAAGAGCGCGTCTCCAGAATCAAATCTCGTTGCCGTTGATGATGAATAATTCATAAAACGCTCACTAATCAACCCCCTGTCAACTGTGTTTTTTTGCTCGTGTTTGACGACCAATCCTTTTATATGCAAACCAAATTCTGGTGCAGTCTGAATCAGTTCTGCAATGCATCTTATCAAATTTTTGGCCCAACACTATGGTTGAACAAAAGGACCATCACAACTTTGATCATATCGTGACCGACATTTATTCAATGCCAACACTTAGTTCCACTTCATCACATATTTTTGACACGCTTTAAACCCTTGTTTGTACTTAATTGTAAATGTATGCTGACGTCTTGTTTGCCTTTGCCATGTTTTTTTTTTTTTTTTATCATTGTGCTCCTTTTGCCTTTGTGGGGTTCACAATAAGACTTGGAATGAACTACAAATGCAAAAACAACAAAAAACAAAAACTTTCACTCTAAATCAATTCTTTATTTATAAATACAGTTGAGTTGAGTTTATTTATATAAAAAAATAATAATAACATACAGGTAGGCCTATGCCAAAGACATGGCATGTAGAAATGAATGTGGGTGTTTCACAAGGGTCAATCCTCAGCCTTGTATACTTTTTGGCCCACATTTTACAAATGTATCCATTCATCCATTTTCAACATTGCTTATCCTGAATAGGGAGTTACTGGAGCCTTCGGGCAGAAGGCGGACTCCACTCTGAACTGGTCGCCAGTCAGTCACAGGGCACATGTAGGCACCAACAACTATTCACAGTCACATCCACATTGTAACTGAGTGGGAACCGATCCCACGCTCCCCTCACACAAGTCAGGCGAGTGTACCACTACATCATCAGCGACTCCAAATATATCAAGTATCTATATAATTGTAATGTTTGTTTTTAATCTAAAAATGGGACATTTCAAATCTACTAAAATAAAATCCAGAAATATCTGTTATGACCAAGCACAAAAATACAAATACTGAAAATATTTATATAGTATCAACTTATGATGCACAATGATGTTACGTCCCACCTTTAAATATGTATTTTACACTATATTCCTGGTCACTACTTCTTCTTGAAACCGTAACCCTGGTTGGAATTGACATGTGCCTGTGAGTGTTGTATACTCCGTTTGTATGCAGTACTGCTAGGTGTGTGTTATAAAGTTTATAAATCACTGTGTCATCTATATTATATTACATTACCGCGTCAATAACTTTCTGCTTTATATGTTAGCATTAAACTAGCAGTCTTTTTTATTAATACAATAGTGTCTTGTTTAGTGCGATTGTATGTGTTAGCACCTCTTAGGCATTTTGGATCTGCACATTATGCTAGCAGATGTTTCATTCGCTTTTATTTTAAGTGTCAATATTACAGTAAACTTTAACCCGCAGTGACAAACGGCTTGGAGCAAGCACGCTTTGCTTCTTATTCAAATAACCATTGGAGACAATAGGGAAGGAATACTTTCAAATAGGCTGTTAAATAAGTTAAATTGTGTCTCAACAGGTTTATATGTGTTTAAAGTGTATCGAATGGGGTAAAAGTATTTCATTAAAATATTTTAGATGGTATTTTCGCAACTATTTACAGTGAGGCAGAACCAAGATTTGCTCTTTAAAATGCACAATCTGCTGACCAAAGTTCTTCAAGTTGATGCGAGCGAGTCTCGGTCACAGCACGGTGGTCTCGGACTGGAGGATGGACTGAGTTCTGGAGGTGCGCTGGAAGTGGACCGTGTGTTCAGAACCTTTCCAGGAGACCAGTGTGGCGCTGAAGGCTTGAGCTCGCTTCAGGTTACAGTCCATGCACAAGCTACGCCACTTCCTCTTCAACTCACTTTGGACCTGCACACACACACGCACGCACGCACGCACACGCACATACACACATTCACACGCGCAACAGCGATACTTTGTTTTGCTGGTGCAAGATTCCGGGAAAACTGAAGGTTTTCTTTTAAGTCATTCTCTTGCCTTAAATATTTAAATCCATCAACTGAAATTCAGGCGTTGAGAGCCACTGAGGAATATTTTTGTCGGGTACATTTTTCAACGGGTAGGCGCGAATGAGGGTATCACCCTCGCGTGCGTGTGAAATTCAAGCTGATACATAACCGGAATGATGAAGAGGCCACGCTTAAAATCGATTGATATTTTTTATTAAAGGTTGGTTTTATTTTATTTTGACTCTTATTTTTGAAATTCAGTTACTTGATTTTAGAACGAGTGTTTTTTTTTAAATTTCTTGTAGATGAGTTTTGATTGGTTTTCGTATTAGTTGTTGGTTCTTTGCAAATATATGAAGCATTTGTTGAGTGCAAGATAAAAAAAAAGTCACTATGTCTTGTCGAATAAAGTAGACTACAGTATAAAAAAAGCAAGGGTCAAAAAAACAAAAGAACAAAACTCACCACAACAGGAAAAATGACATGAGATGACATGACTGGGTCTACCAGACACATGACAGCAACTATGAACCAACAAAGAATGAATAAAAGCAGGACACTAAAAACAAACAAACACAAACGGACAAAACAATGAGGCACACCTGGACAAGACTCAAGTAGCTGGAGCAAGCTGATTGGTTGGCACAAGGAACAGGCCTAACGAGTAGAAATGTCAATCAAGAAGCAACAAAATGGGGCAAAAGATCAAATAAAAGAAAATCAAAACAAAATTACAGATTATGACAGTTTTATCCACTTTTTGGTCAGAATCCAGTGTTTTGGGGTGAAACCAGCCAGCGTTTTCCTGATAACTCACAGACGGAAAAAATTATGACCAAACATTTTTGGTTCCTTTCCTCTATTAGTGTTGGTAGGTTCGGTACTATATTGTCACAGAACACAATATTCTTTAGGCTTTGAAAAAACGAGTGAAAACGCTTCTGAAACGATTTGCAGTCATGTGAAAAGAGTTGAGTGGATTACAAACCTCGCTGTTGAGGAAACAGTAGAGGATGGCAACCACCAGGCCCTGAAAGACATCAAATGCAAAAAGAACAAGAACTAGTCGACCATTTCAAATGACAAGTCAGCAGGATAGGGACTCGTGTATCATCCTGGTCATCACTAGCCTAACATTTGCGATTCCAAATTCAAGCAGTGAAATATTTCTGTCATCAGTCAGTGTAAGAGCACCTGAAATGATCCGAGGGCCAGGTCGAAAAAGATCTTGTAGTCTTCGGCCATGGATTCCGACAGAGACACAAAGACCACATAGTGGATCCCAAACAACGGAATGAGGAGGAGAGTCGATTTGGCCAACCGCCTGAAAAACAACAAAAAACATAAAACCTCAAAATGTCACAAATGTGACTATCCCCAGAAGGCAAAACAGTCTTATCTCAAATGAACTTTTCCCACTGAAACGTTCGTTTCAGCCTTCCCGCCCAAATTGTTGTAATGGGAGAATAACACCTGCAATGAACAAGAAATGTCTCTTCTCAATAAACAATTCAGAATCAGTTTTGGTGGAATAAGAATATAATAGGCATCAGAAAATGCCATTTTCAAGTCAATGTGGATGTTCCACAAGGTTCCATCCTCAGTCCTCTGTAGCCTTTTGGTCTGGTCAACATTTTTAAAATGTACAAGATATTTGTTTATTTGGAATTTTTTTCTTTGAATCCAAAATCGGATTCCAATCCAAAACAATAACATTTAACATTTATAATTTTTTTAATGACTAGAATGTCTTTGTATTTAAAGCACCGTGGCCTTTTTAACTTCTCATTCGTGCTTGGAGACCTAAAAATGTGAGAATTGACCACACCGTTTGAATTCCTTTGTTGAAGGAACTGTAGGATCTTTTTTTGAGGAGTGGAATTCGGACCGAGAAGCAGACAGTAGACGAAAGTGCCCAAAAATTCAAAATAAAAAATAGAGTTGGGCTGGATGCAGCAGGGCATAGAAGGCTTAATGTGTGACTGGGTAACTCAAAGCTTATACGTATAAAAACAAGCCCATACGAGGTGAATATGTGAAAGCGAATGTTAACAAAATGCAAAAAAAATAGTCACCAGCATCATTTTTTTTTAATCCATCTATAGTGTAACTCTGTAATTCCAATGACCGGTCATTCATGATGTAAAGCACGACAAGCATGTTTAGCGACGATGATGGTGAAACGACAAAGCAGTCTGGACGTGACGTGTCGGTGATGACAAACTATAGATGAAGTGCGTGAAATGTGTGTCAGCAACCTACCCGTACTGAGAATGGTCGCCCCCGCCCAGGTCGGGACGCTGCAGCTTCTGCACGAGGATGCGAACGATGCGAATGAAGAGCAGAAAGTTCACCTGGAAAAATAACACGAAGCGAAAAACTCACAACGCTGGAAAAATCATCCACAAGGGAGCAATCAATTTCGACAATTCCTCATTGAATGTCCATATGTGTCCTGACATTGATGGGCGACCAGTCAATTATTTGTTTATGTGTGTTTGAGCGGCGACCGGTTCAGCCTATTCAAAAAGATGCCGATGTTTGCTTCTTTCATACCACAACGGCGAGTCCGATGGGTCCGTTGATGACCCAGTTGGGTATAGGGTTGTCGTTCCTCTCCCAGCACCTGTCAATCAAAATGCGCTTCGGTTGGATGGGCCGAACGTGTGAGCGAGCGTGACGTCAGCATGCCTGAGACGCAGCGGTCCGTCACTCACCCCGTGTCCTCCAGGTAAATTCTGGTCAGAACCCACGTCAACACAAACACGCTCGGGATGCCTGCGCCAATCACGGAGCAAAGCCGGCATTAGGGTGACCTCACCTCACCTCTGCCAAATTGGATTCAGACCTCTACTCATGATGTCATTGAACACAACGGAAAGACTTTTGGGTTCAATTCAGTGGATATTGTGGCGTTCCTTCCAGTGTGCACATCTTGGCCACCAGGGGGCAGGGATGGCAGAAGACGCTCACAGCGTTTTAGGAAGTTGCAGTAATACTGTATTCAAAAAGTCCGTCTTAAGTTAAGATATCCTTTATTTGTCCCAAACTGGGAAAATTTACAGTCTGCAGCAGCAATTTTGGGGGATTTGTCTTCGCCTCTACGCAGAGGACAAAGAAAATATGCATGAGTGATTGAGTGAATCCACAATAACCAATTGGCTAGGAAACAGCGTAATGTGATTAGATAAGGCAACGCGGATAAACAAAGGAACGTGATGAGTTGAAGTCATGTGGATGCAACCCGTATATTTTTGTGTTTGGATGTAGTGATGCGTTTTACCCCATCCGATGAGCATGTAGACGGCAAAGTGGGTGTTTTGCGAGAACATGGCCACCAGGAGTGTGTGGAGGTACAAGGCCTCCACCAGCAGCCAGAAGAAGTTGGCCATGATGAAGTACTGCAACAATACCAGGCTGGCTCGACACACCACCTGACACACACAGAATTAATCAGGCCGTGACGCTTATTGGCATCAACGCTCATCACCAGACATCTCAGCGTTCCCGTCGTTCATTCCTTGGCACAAAGACGAACGAATTGGCTGAGTGCACCCAGTGAAAGGCGGGGTGTACCTAATGAAGTGTCTCACCAGCGAGGGCTGCGCGCCGCAGTGCGCCGCGCGGCCGAACAGGAGGCGGTCCTTCACCAGCACGGCAGCCGCCCTCAGGATGAACGACAGGAACAGGTTCAGGTGGATGGAGTTCCTGGTGCAGCGCAGCTTCCTGTGCGACAAATCACCGACGTCATGGGGGCTAAAAACACTCTCCTTACAAATCGTCTTGTCGCCCCCACCCCAGGAACAACAAAAAGATGAATTAAATTAGTAATGCTACTGCTACTGGTTCGCCCGTCCATGGTTTTACATTGTTTGTTTGCATTGCACTAAACTACTTGCAAATGAAAGCAAAAAATGAACCCATTGAGGGTTTATATCTCTAATCTGAAGACCCCCTTTTTTATGGGAACATTTTTAATTCGAGCATTTTAACTGTACAAGATGGCAATACATGCAAACATACAGCATAATAAAATAGAATCGAAAGAAATGGTATATCGTGTCACGCTGATCTCTCAACAGTCTGAAACAGTTCATTTTTCCATAATAACGTCCCCTCGGACAACTTGTCATCCCATAATCGGGCTCATCTGCTCAACACCTGCAGCGAGACAAACCCACGCACTCCAAACACACACAACCACCAACAAGCGAACACAGGAAGTGGCAGGCCCATAATAGCACCTCCGTTAATCTCTCGTAACATCGACTAAATTATCCTCCAGGCGGCAAGCTTTGAGAAAACTGAGATTTCCGACAAACACCAGCCGCTTTAGAGTCCTTCCTACACAATCAAGTGCTGTTCTCGTTTTTCCTAATCCGGCGCGACAATATCATGCGAGTGATGTCATACGTTCGGATTGTCACCGTGATGCGCTTCGACGCATGACTAAAGGCTTGGCTTTATTCCAGACAACCAATGCACGCACTGAAAATATTGAAATATACCATCAGGAGTTCAAATTATTCATTTTATCAATACAATTGGATGCTTCCTTGTGTTCCGATACCTTTTGGGTCAGATCCACATTTGCCTCACTTGCTGTGTAGGGTCCAAAAGCATTTTCTTATCCCCCCGTTTTCTTCTTACAGCTGTCACAGAACTTTTCTACATTTACATTTTGACTTTCTCAAGGTGTCCCAATTTACTTTTGTGTATATTTTATTTACTTTTCACTTCCTGCCCTTTCAATCTTTTTTTTTCTAAACACAATGTCCAGTGTTTGTCACAAAACGAAAGTTTTACCTAAACTCTCCGTTTGTGTCCAAATTTTCTTCACTTTTCCCACTTTGTGTGTGTGTGTGTGTGTGTGTGTGTGTGTGTGTGTGTGTGTGTGTGTGTGTGTGTGTGTGTGTGTCCCAATACCAATACTTACGTGTAATGTTAGTTTTGTAACGCATTACAAAGCTCATGTGCGCCCCCTGCTGTGAAGGAGGCTAATAAGAAGGTTGCGCCTCACCTGAAGAGGAATAGGACAGCACTCCCGGTAGTGAGGAAGATAAGGGATAGGCTGTGGCCCAATGTGTACAACGTCTGCACCAGCATGTAAAATACCAGCTAAACACACACACACACACACACACACACACACACACACACACACACACACACACACACAAAATTATAATGACGCAAAAGCGGGGGCTAACAAATATGCTAAGCTAACTCAGCTAGCTAAATGCTCCTGGTTGCTATGTTTGCATCGGCTAAAAGTATTTTCTGTTTATGCGTTGACTTTTTTTTCTGGCAAGTCTATGCTAGCTTAGCATCTTGATATGTTTTAAGAAATGGTGTGTGTGCGTGTGTGTGTGCGTGTGTGTGTGTGTGTGTGTGTGTGTGTGTGTGTGCGCGTGCGCACGTGCGTGCATGTGTGTGTGTATATCTCTCTCTCTCTCTCGCTTGTGTCTGAGTTGCACAATGCAATACGTTATCCAGTTAAGTGAACAAACACAAGGAGTAATTCACGACCAGACATTGGCGACCCCAAATGAACTCAACTCAGCTGAACTCAGAACTAAAGCTGGGAGCCACAATTAGCAGAGAAGGAAATACTGCCAAACACGACAACAACCTGTTTTTGTTTGAGCAAATGTTTGTAAATGCATTATTGCTATTATTATCACCAAAATTAACCCTAACCCCTAAGTCCAAACAATAGGCTAACCCAAGATCCCAATTTTTTTTTTTTTTTCATCTTACACTTGACAAATACCCCATATATTAAAAAATATGACCATTGTAAAGCGCACGTGGAAATTTAGCATTTTTGAGAACATCGAGTGAAGCGGCTTGCGAAGCCGAATGCACCTTATCGTGGCCCATGTCCGAACCGCAGGCGCTGGTTATGTTGGGGAACACCTCGGACCATCCGGAGGCCATGCACTTCCTGCTGATGTTCCCTACAGGAGGTCATCAGGATTGAAATGAAGGAGGAGGAGGTTCAGGTCCTGGTCAAGGTTATTACATTTCATGAAAACAAAACAAATAATTCAAACCACATTTGAAAAGACATATTTGTAAATGAAATACAATCAAAAGAATAACGAACTCAAACTATATTTTACGTTTACACAACTCCTAAAATGAACTATAATTACAATAAAAATGTCTTGGTCAATGATTTCCATATATCAACTTTAAAGGTAAATTTCCAAGTGTGTATTTAATGCGCGTGGGCCGGTTTTCCGACAGCTGTATGGTCTGGTATCGAGTTTTAAACGGCCATTTGGGATTTGTTTTTCTTTTACTATGCGTCGCGCAGAAGGAATGTCATCGGAAAGCACTGCTGTTTTTGTTTGTTCTTATTTCATACAAGATAAATCCCCTGTATAAATTCAAATACTAAAACGAATAAAAACTCAACTATAAAAGAACTGTCAACTATCAAACCCGCACAAAGGAACTGGATTTGACAAAAACAAAAGTCAAAAGGTAACCAAACTTCCTCTATTGAAAAAATGGAATATTGTGAACCCTTGGTCCTGGTGGGATTTTACCGTTGGTGCCAAAGACGGTCCTGAGGAAGTGAGGGCAAGGTATGGTGGCGGTCTGGCCAATCCCGGTGCGTTCCCAACACGTGATGTTGTCCCAAGTGCCTTTGCAGCCCGCCTCTGAGTGTACAAAAAAAATTAAAAATAAACAATCAGCATCCGCCATCGGCAACCACTCAACGTTCAGCATTATCGACCAATCAGCATCAATTACACTCAAATGATTTCTGACAAAGTCACTAATCCTACGATGGTGAGATTTCACACACAGACCTAAAGATATCCATGGGGGGGGGGGGGGAATAATCTCAGAAGCATGTTAAGGCCTTCATGAAGTCCAAACATAAAGCTATTGAGTCTTCGCCAAATGCTCTTGTCGTGGCGACGCGCTGGTTGCCAAGAAAATGATGCTGTTTTGGAGGGTCTTTACATACACGGGAACTCGGTGCTGCCCTGCTCAAAAATATGTTTAGTTATTCATATTTTTATATGTATATGTTTATATTTTAATATTTAGAGGTTCAGTGTGCCATTTTCTAAAAAAAAAAAAAAAAAAGCCTCAGTAGCGCCCCCTACTAATTAAGCTAACGTGCTAGGTTTTCATTTTACTTCCTGTTGAAACGAATCCCAACAAAATCGTGCTTATCCTCTCATATGGATCGGAATAAAATACAAATAAACAAACAAATAAACAAAACAAATAAATAAAGGTGACTTTGGTTTTGCAAAAGCCGATTTGGCGTCCGGGGTGGACTTCGCTCAGAGATGATTAGGAGCGGATTACATTTCATGCTGAACGCCGCTCAGATGATCTCGGCAAAGTAAACCGGGGCCGAATCATTAGCGGGCGGGCACGTGCACGAGCGCGCGTGCATGCGCACACGCACGTGGTTTTGTTTGTGAGGGATTGGAGGATGTTCGTTCGTCTCTTGAGTGCGTTGCTGCAGCCGGCATCGCTTTTGAACGTCTCGGCGTGTTATTTGTATGATAGAATTGTCATATTCTCATTCTCCGATTGAATACGTGTCTGCGTGCGCGCGCGCGCGCGCGTGTGTGTGTGTGTGTGTGTGTGTGTGTGTGTGTGTGTGTGTGTGTGCGCGCGCGCGCGCGCGCGCGCGCGCGAGAGAGAGAGTGGGTGTCTTGTTTTTGTTCATTAATGCTTCACAAAAATAACTGAGCGCAAGAAAAATGCTGAGCGTGGCATTTTTCTTTGTAGGTTGGGAAGAAGATGAACTACATTTTTTAGTCAAGCTTGCAAGTACTGTAAGAGAGTGCAAATACTGTACTTGGTTACTGGACTTTTCAGGTAGCACTTGTGTGAGTATTTAGTTCTTCGTTGACATTTCAACACAAATGGGGGATACACAATTTAAGCTTCAAATGTAAAATTTGGTTTTTAAATCAGGTCGGCACGGTGGACAACTGATTAGCATGTCCGCCTCACAGAACAGAGGTGCAGGGTTCGATTCCGGCTCCGGCCTTTCTGTGTGGAGTTTCCATGTTCTCCCCGTGCCTGCGTGGGTTTTCTTTGGGTATTCCGGTTTCCTCCCACATTCCAAAAATATGCATAGCAGGCTGATTGAACACTCTCAGTTGTCCCTAGGTGGGAGTGTGAGGGTGGATGGTTGTTCGTCTCTGTGTGCCCTGTGATTGGCTGTTCAGGGTGTCCCCCACCTACTGCCCGAAGATGGCTGGGATAGGCTCCAGCATCACCTGCGCGACCCTTGTGAGGATAAAGCGGGTCAGAAAATGGATGGATGGATGGATGGATGTTTTACAACCAGGGTTAGGGTTTAAAAATTACGGATTCAAGCCTAAAATAAGGTATCAAATAAGTGTTAGGGTTTCAGATGAGGGTTTAAAATAAATGCTGAGGTTTCAAATTGGGACTATAGCCTGAGCTGGGCTCTCATACTGGGTTTAGGGTGCCAAGTGAGGGATTCCAGACTGGGTTCGGGTTTCTCCTTCGTACCTTTGTGTGGGGCTCGTCTCTCTTGGTCTTCCAGTCGCGTCATGCACTCAGCGTGATCTTTTTCCACCTCCAGCAGGAAATTGCAAGTGGGGTGACGACCGGTCGCCTGCCGTGTGCATCACAAGAAAAAACTTGGTGTCTTAACATAAAACAAAACAAAGAAAATATTTCCCCCATTTTCACTTCATGCAAAAAAAGAAACAAATCAGACCTTTGCAACATTTTTAGCTTGAAAAAAGAAACGACACATTTGAGAACCTTGTTTTTCTGTTCAATATGAAAACATGTTTTACATTTATCAATGCAACTATTTTAACACAGGCTTTGGCATTTTCAATTTTTCAAAGCAAGAACTCATTCATGTTTTGAATTTAGTTTCAATTAAGTAACACATTGGTGAGATGATTTTGCGCATGTTTTTATTTTTATTTTTGTATTTTTTTCAACAACATCTTTTTTTTATAACTGGAGACCTACTTTTGTACGCCCTGTGTATAAATATAGTGGAAAAAATATATATTTGTAATGGATGTAAATTATATGCGGATTTTCGCTGTTCACGGGTGAGCCAGGTGCAAGATATTCTTTCATGTTTTCATTCTCTGCTTTTATTGTGAAGTTTAATGGGTTATTTTTATTTTTATTTTTTTTAATGTTTTGGTGACCTCGTTTACTGTTAGAAACAGCTCTTAGGGCATTTGTGAAAGTACAAAAATAAACGCTATGGAAGTGTCAATGACAAGAAAGTGACCATAGCTGTCTTTCTAAATCCTGGTTTTTATTTATTTAAGGATGGCCACGACATGTGTTTACCTCAAATATTGTATGAAGCAATTATGATCCAAGTGATTTTGAAAAATAAAAACGATTCTCGTTCATGAATCAATCAACCAAGACGAAGACAGTAAAAAAATGAACGAATGAATGAATGAATCCAATCAGCAAAGTAAAAAGCTACAAAAAAAATATCAAAATGAACGGTGAACTCACCATCAGCACATAAGCGGAGCAAAACGCCAAGAAGAAAATGAAACTTTTCATCTTTGCTTTTCAGTCGCAACAATCAAAACGATTAATCAATTATAAAAAAATCATATTACGGATGTTAGTGCTCCTCTTTTAAATACGAACCCTATAAAATATCCGAAACGTCCAGTGGGATGAGAAACGTGCACGTCTTTCTCCACGCAGCAGCGTGGACGTGCATGCAACGCGCGAGACCGTCGAGTTGTCATTTCTCCGTAGTGGGCTAAAACACTTCCTGTTGGCCCTGTCAAAGTAAATCACAAATCGTAGACTCATACGGAAGAGGATTAGTCAGAATTCTGAGATTAAAGTCAGAATTTTGAGAACAAAGTCAGAATTCTCACTTTAAAGTGGTTCTCGATTCTGAAAGAAAGTTTATTTTATGGACACTCTGTCTCTTTTCGCTTGTTTGTAGGGAATCCAAAAATTGGTAAACTGTTGAAGTCTTTACATTCTATTTAGTTATGTCATTATTGTATGCACAATATTTTACGGAAGAGGATTAGGGCCAATGAAGAAAAAAAACAAGGTTGGCAAAATTCTCACTTTAATCTCAGAATTCTGACTTTGAAGTGAGAATTCTGACTTTATTCTCAGAATTCTGACTTTAATCTCAGAATTCTGACTTTAAAGTGAGAATTCTGAGTTTATTCTCAGAATTCTGACTTTAATCTCAGAATTCTGACTTTCCTCTCAGAATTCTGACGACAGTAATCCTCTTCCGTATGTTGAAACTTTTTTTTTTTTTTTGTGCTGTCTTTCAACCGTTTCACGCTCCAGCCCGGTAGGTGGCGGAAATGCGTCTGAACCTCGTTTTGCCTGCCGCCATAGAAACTACACAGGACGAAGAAAAATATCTAGTTTCGGCTTTGATTCTGGCTGCTCGTGAGAGGTGTTGATTGAGTGCCAGTCGTGCTGGAAAAATGTCGCAGCTCTTAACGTCCCAAGACCTCCACGAGCAGCTGAGTGTCATCATGGCTGCGCTGAGCAAGGCAGCCGGACTGGAAA